AACAAGGCTAGTTCCAGAGCTAAGGGGAATGTCCGGCGAAGAGAGGTTAAGGGAAATCGGCTTGACAACACTGGAGGACAGGAGGGTCAGGAGACATGTTAACGACATACAAAATACTGCATGGAATAGACAAGGTGGACATAGACAGGATGATCCAGAGATGGGACACAGAAACAAGGGGTCACAATTGGAAGCTGAAAACTCAGATGAGTCAAAGGGATGTTAGAAAGTATTTCTTCAGCCACAGAGTTGTTAGGAAGTTGAATAGTCTGGCAAGCGATGTAGTGGAGGCAGGAACTATACATAGTTTTAAGACGAGGTATGATAAAGTTCATGGAGCAGGGAGAGGGAGGACCCAGTAGCGGTCAGAGAAGAGGCAGGGCAAGAAGCTGAGTTTCGACCCCTGCAACCACAATTAGGTGAGTCCACACACAAAACCTCCCTCCCTCAAGCACACCACACACAACCTCCCTCCCTCCAGCACACACACACGCACACACACGCACCCTACTTCCCTCCCTCCAGCACACACACACACACACACACACACACACACACACACACACACACACACACACACACACACACACGCACACGCACACACACACAGGAGCTTGGACTCGACCCCTGCAACCTCAACTAGGTGAGTACACAGCACCTAGAAAGGAATGAGCCTATCAACGACAGCGAGGACGGTTTCAGGAATGGGAAATCCTGCGTTACAAATCTATTGGAGTTCTATGACAGGGTGACGGCAGTAAGACAAGAGAGAGAGGGTGGGTAGATTGCATTTTTTGGGACTGTAAGAAGGCTTTTGACACAGTTCCACACAAGAGATTAGTGCAAAAGCTAGAGGACCAGGTAGAGATAACAGTGAAGGCATTACAATGGATCAGGGAATTCCTGTCAGGAAGACAACAGAGAGTCATGATATGTGGCGAGGTGTCAGAGTGGGCGCCTGTAACGAGCGTGGTACCACAGGGATCAGTCCTAGGACCAGTGCTGTTCCTAGTATTTGTGAACGACATGACAGAGGGAATGGACTCTGAAGTGTCCCTGTTTGCAGATGATATCAAGCTGATGAGAAGAATTCAATTGGACGAGGACCAGACAGAACTACACAAAGGGATCTGGACAGGCTGCAGGCCTGGTCCAGCAACTGGCTCCTGGAGTTCAACCCCACCAAGTGCAAAGTCATGAAGATTGGGGAAGGGCAAAGAAGACCACAGACAGAGTACAGTCTAGGGGGCTAGAGACTACAAACCTCACTCAAGGAAAATGATCTTGGGGAGTATAACACTGGGCACATCTAAGGCGCACATCAACCAAAAAACTGCTGAAGCATGTGGGCGCCTAACAAACCTAAGAACAGCTTCCCAAAATCTTAAAAAGGAATCATTCAGGACCCTGTACACTGTGTACATTAGGCCTATATTGGAGTATGCGGCACCAGTTTGCAACCCTCACCTAGCCAAGCATGTAAGGAAACTAGAGAAAGTGCAAAGGTTTGTAACAAGACTAGTCCCAGAGCTAAGGGATATGTCCTACGAGGAGAGGTTAAGGGAAATCGACCTGACGACACTGGATAACAGAAAAGATATGGGATAATATGATAACTACATATAAAATACTGAGAGGAATCGGCGAGGTAGACAAAGACAGGATGTTCCAGAGATGGGACACAACAACAAGGGGTCACAGTTGGAAGTTGAAGACTCAGATGAATCACAAAGATGTTAGGAAGTATTTCTTCAATCACAGAGTTGTCAGGAAGTGGAATAGTCTGGGAAGTGATATAGTGGAGGCAGGATCCATACATAGCTTTAAGAAGAGGTAAGATAAAGCTCATGGGCTCTGGAATCTACCAGGAGGGTATTCCGGGAATCAACACCCCCGCAGCCCGGTCCATGACCAGGCCTCAAGGTGGATCAGGGCCTGATCAATGAGGCTGTTACTGCTGGCCGCACGTAGTCCAACGTACGAACCACAGCCCGGCTGATCTTTCACTGACTTTAGGTATCTGTCCAGCTCCCTCTTGAAGACAACCAGGGGTCTATTGGTAATTTCCCTTATTGCTAGTGGGAGGCTGTTGAACAGTCTTGGGCCCAGGACACTTATTTGTTTTCTCTTAGTGTACCAGTGACACCCCTACTTTTCTCTGGGGGTATGTTGCATCGCCTGCCAAGTCTTTTGCTTTCACATGAAGTGATTTCTGTGTGCAGGTTAGGAACCAGTCCCTCCAGGATCTTCCAGGTGTAGATTATAATGTATCACTCTCTCCTGCACTCCAGTGAGTACGAGTCAAGTGCTTCCAGGCGTTCCCAGTAATTAAGGTGTTTGATGGAATTTATATGTGCAGTAAAGGTTCTCTGTACATTCTCTAGATCTCCAATTTCACCTGCCTTGAATGGGGATGTTAATGTACAGCAGTATTCCAGCCTAAAGAGAATAAGTGATTTAAAAGGGATCATCATTGGCTTAGCATCTCTTGTCTTGAATGTTCTCATTATCCATCCTATCAGTTTCCTCGCAGATGTGATCGTGGCATTGTTGTGGTCCTTGAAGGTGAGATCCTCAGACATTACCACTCCCAGGTCTTCACATTGCTTTTCTGCTCTATTGTGAGATTTGTGTTTGTAGTATACTCAGTCCTAGTTATTATTTCCTCCAATTTTGCATAACGGAGTAATTGGAGTTTGTCTTCATTGAGCATCACATTATTCTCTGTTGCCCATTGGAAAACTTGGTTTATATCTTCTTGGAGATTTGCCGTGTCCTCAATGGATGACACTCTCATGCAGATCCTAGTATCATCTGCAGAGCATCATACAGTGCTATGGTTTACATCTCTGTCTATGTCTGATATGAGAATGAGGAACAGGATAAGGGCGAGTACTGTGCCTTGTGGAACAGAGCTCTTCACTATGGCAGCTTCTGATTTAACTCTGTTTACCACTACTCTTTGTGTTCGATTGGTTAGAAAGTTGAAGATCCATCTGCCTACTTTGACAGTTATCCTTTAACACGCATTTTGTGTGCTATTACACCATAGTCGCACTTGTCAAAGGCTTTTGCAAAATCTGTGTATAGTACATCTGCATTCTGTTTGTTTTCCATTGCATCTAAAACCATATCATAGTGGTCCAATAGTTGCGAGAGCAGAAGCGACCTGCTATGAAACCATGTTGCCCTGGATTGTGCAATTTTTGGGAGTCCAGGTGGTTTGCAATCCTGCCTTCTTAGCACTCTCTCAAAGATTTTCATGATGTGGGACGTTAAAGCTATTGGTCTATAGTTCTTAGCTATTGCTTTGCTGCCACCTTATGAAGTGGGGCTATATCCGTTGTTTTCATTGACTCTGGAAGCATACTTAGGGCCTGTGAGAGGGGTTTCTTGTAGTTCTTTATGAGCAGAGTTCCACGAGTTTAGGCCTGGGGCTGAGTGCATGGGCATGTCGTCGATGACTTTCTCAACGTCTAGTGGAGTTAGGGTTATGTCAGAAATTTGGCATACATTGGCAGGGTTTTAAGGCTCATTCGTGAAAAAATTGCTTGGATTGTCTATCTTTAGTCTGATTAGTGGCTCACTGAACAGAGTCATATTGAGATTTCAGTAGCTCACTCATTTCTTTGTTGTCATCTGTGTAAGTTCCATCTTGTCTGAGCAGGGGCCCTATACTAGAAGTGGTTTTTGCCTTGTTTTTAGCATATGAAAAGAAATATTTCGAATCTCTTTCAATTTCACTAATCGCTTTTAGTTCCTCTTGTCTCTCCTGGATCCTGTACGAGTCCTTTAACTTAAGTTCAATATTTTCCACTTCCCTGGTTAGCACTTCCTTCCGTGTTTCAGATAATCTGATATTCTTGAGGAGCTCAGTGATTCTTCGCCTTCTCCTGTAGAGGGAGTGTCTCTCTCTCCAGTTTACTTCTCTTCTTTTTTCTTGGGGTAATATGCCTTGAACACACTTCAGCTAGCAGGAGGTTGATCTTTTCAAGGCACTGGTTAGGGTTTATGTCATTTAAGATATCTTCCCAACATGTTTCATTTAGGACATAGTTTACCTGGTCTCAGTTGA